TTCTGCGGAGTGATCAGTCAACAACACACAAACTAAAAAATGCCTACTGGACAACAAAACAGGTTGTTATAAAAAAGCTAGGCCGGAAAGAAGATGAGCATCTCGTAGCTTCTGATTGCGAACTTGATTCTAAACTCGAGGTTTTAGTTGCTTTATTTATCCTGTCATGTATAGCTATTTAAAATTGTTCAGAAAACCTGCCTTGATCTCAGTCTAACCACCGAAAGATACGAAGAAGTTATTTGTCGTAAGTGTACTAATGCCCTTTATATAATATTTTAGTCTTATCTCAATCAGAGAACGAGCTAGGACGCTTTTTAAAATATAGAGGTAACGAGGATAAAACACAAGCAGGCAAAATTATGGCTGCTGTAGGCAAAAGCTTAATATACTCTTCGCAACAGAGGTAATTCTGTGGTTTATATACTTGCTTTAGGCTTGCTCTAAGAGCTCCTCTTTCACGTTTGCATAACGAAATAGAGACATTCAGAAATAGGGCGGTTGCTGATTCGAATGTTACTATTCAAAGAATGGAAAGTTCAAGGACAGACTATCGTGGTGCCCTTCTTTGGATGAAAAATGTCAGTGAAGAATTGGATCCTGATGCCCTCAAACAATTAGATAGATTTAGAAGGGTTCAAGCGCAGGTAAATTCTTTTCAGTAAACTCATTTTTCCTGGTGAGTACGCTTTACAATTATCACTCCCTATTCCTCTTGTCCTTTGACATTCCTCATGCTTTAAATACGATCTATTATTATAATAGCATTATTATTAAATATTATTTATTTTTATACTTAATTTATAGAGCGCTTGCTCAAAATTTTGTCGATCTTTGTTACCGCTTTATTCTATGATATTTTCACAGTATAAATGTTTTATCTATACTTCCCTTTGCCTAAAATAGTCTATTTTATACTACAATTTACGCCTTATTGCTTTCCGATTTTTCTCAATATTCATGCTACTGGCTGGCAATTGCCATTTTGGCGTTAACTCAATACTTTCAGCATTTACTTCTTGTAGTCAATTGTTTTAAACCCCTAAATTTA